TCTTTCTCGCGCTGTGAATCATATCTCGCGCCAGCGGGCACATGTTAGAACCATCCAGTTTTTCACAGGCTGAACGTGTGCGCCCATGAACCCAGTCTTCTGGGCCCGACAGTGTGTGGCTTCCTGCGAGTTGGGCTTTTTGTGTTGTTTGGTTCATCCATAAACCAGAGGTTCATGTCTGTGTTCATACATTCAGGCTTCAAACTCAAATGAGTTTGAAGGGAACCTGCACATCATCAACCATTGACCAGGTTGCCTGGGTTCCGGCACGTAACCATATGCTTCAGCCTGCGCTTGCAGTTCACTTGAGCCATTTGTTGCACCCCTACCAAGAAGGGAAGACGACTCACTCATGGTGAAGATCCCTGTCCATCATTTGCAGCATGTCTTTTTTGCTAGTTGGGGATGGGATGTAGATTTACTTGATTCAGCTTTACGCCTTGCCTTTGTCCGCAGCATCGAATTGGACCAATTGGTTGTTTGTTTTGCCGGTTTGTTCCTTTGTTTGTGGTTTTTTGCTTCCTTGCTTCTTAACTTCTTTGTTTCGGGGTGGGTTCGGTTGGAAGGGTTTGGTTCTCTGTGTGTGTGTGTGTGTGTTTGTGTTTGTGTTTGTGTTTGTGTTTGTTGGTTTGTTGGTTTGTTTGTTTGTTTGTTGGTTTGTTGGTTTGTTGGTTTGTTGGTTTGTTGGTTTGTTTGTTTGCCTGTTTGCTTGTTTGCTTGTTTGCTTGTTTGTTGTTTGTTTGTTTGTTTGTTTGTTTGTTTGTTTGTTTGTTTGTTTGCTTTCTTGTTCGTGTGTTTGCTTGGATGTTGGTGGTGTATCCTTCAGTCAATCGGTGGGTCTGTGAGGCGGTGGGTCGGCTCGGCTTGGCGTTGGGTCATTTGGTCGCTTGCCGGTGGGTCAAATGGTGGGTTGGTTGGTCGGCCACACCCAAGGTTGGCGGCTTGGCTGGTGGTGCATTTCTTTTGCGGGGCCAATGGCCCTCTACAATTCTACCACTGGGAAGTGGTTTTCTTGGTGGCCCCCAGCCGTCCGGTTCCTTAGCTTTTTAGGCTTTTAGGCTTTTAGGGTGTGGTAGTTTCCATTTGGCCCACTAGTAAAGAGGGCGGCCATGGTCGCCCTCTTTCCACCTCACCTTTGAGGGGCTGAGGAGTTCCAAGCTTCCATCCGAAGGGCGGGCGCGCATTTCATCGCTCGCAGGTGCCGGGGTCCGCGCCGGGCCCCCAGAGCATTTGATCGGAGCGGCGAACGGACACGTCTCTTTGCCAGCTAGACTAAGGAGTCCTTTGGCCGAGGCTCTTGAAGAAGGATGCCATGACAGATTCAGATCCGAGCGTGACCAAACCCAAAGGCCAGAAACCAATCCGATTTGCTTTTCACCCCGGTTGCACTGCTCGGAGTTTAGGTGGACGACTTGCTCGCAGACTTTGAGGAAGGCGCAGGCGGGTGAGCTTTACAGCGGGGAAGGCACTTTGTTTAAGTTTCCCCTTTGGAAGTTGTTTGTCGTTCTTTTTGGTGAAACCAAAGGAAGACCACCCAATACGGAACAAGGGCACCACTGGAGGGTCTTGCCGTTCTTGAGGCGCGCATGCGCATGTTCGCATAGGCGCATAGGCGCATATGCGCATATTGCACTTTCACATTCGGACCGTCCCCCCCCCCGTTTCCAAAAGCTCTTTTTCTTTTGAGAGGAGCCGACTGCTTGCAGGAAGTCCCATCGGATGCGCGGTTGATGAAGGCAAAAATGTGACTGACCCACGTAGGTGTGGCTCAAAATTTAAGAGCTAGGGTTACGCAGGTTTTGGTCTTTGGTTCCATTTACCAAGGTGCCATTGTAGTACATGTTTTTGAGCCACAGCCATGTGTGAACACTACCTTGACAACATTGTTATGTTTTCGCGCTGTTCCTTGAACCGTGCTTGGCCCCACGTGGGGCAGACCCCCAAAACTACGTCATCAGCGAGGGGTTTACAAATCTTTCCCCAGATTGGGTTTGCCATTCCTTTTTGGAAGGAATCCCTAAAAAGAGAGGTTGCCTTGTCTTCCTCTAAAGCAACCTTGAAACGGGTACCCTTGAAAACACGAAACCAGACACATCCCTGCTTTCTTTTTGCGGATGCGTGTCAAGTAGATTCCGTGTGCAGATGTGTGTAGATACACCAGTTTCGTGGGATTGCGTTTGATTCCATGTATTCCATGTCAGTCAATATTCGCTACACTCGCCAATTAACACTGTAAACTGAGGCTATTACTCACCAATCATCGTTGTCAGTTGGGGCTATAGATACACCCGGGCAATGTTCAAGACAGGTGGTTGCTGAGGAGGGACCCTCAATTCTTATGAGGTTATTTCTAAACACGTGTACAGGGGGAGCCTAATCTTTTAAACACGTGCCCACATTTTCCCACCTCGGCCAAGCTTTGAGAAAGGGCTGGTGGTCAAAATCACATCCCTGTAAGATGTATGTGCCATGTGTCGGTGACAAGCGTTTTCTGGAACTGAATCAAGGTGCGCTTCCCTAGTTTCCGCTTCCAAAAGGTGAGGCCTTCTCTTGTTGAGCGAGATCAAACATCAGATAGAATCAAGTTCCAAAAAGGTACACTTTTTCTTGTGTCCTTTTGAGACAAAAGGCCAGAAATCGGAACGAGCTCAGCGGTTCCGTGCATGCAAAGCGCCAGGTGAGGTGGAAGATGGGGAGGTCTCCTTTGACCTCTCAACCTCCGATGCGCGGGGGGGGGGGGGGGTCCCGGACCATAAGTTGTGGAATCAGGGAAACCACAAAACTTGCCCTTCGCAGAAGAGTTGCTTTCTGGAGGCATCTTTTTGAAAATGAGCCCCTCCTATGAAAATTTAAATGTCCTTGGTTCCTTTCAAGGGCAAGATTGGTGGGTGCCCCATCTTTAGAAAGAGACGGAGAGAGCGCCAGGTTTTATTATCAACACTCCCAGTACCACTTGTTGAGGGCAGCTCGCTTGCCTTGTTGTTTGGTGTCGCCGCTGAGCATGGTTCCCAAGATGTCCTCATTTGGTTGTGATGTGTGATAAATGGCAGCTCGCCAGTTTTCAGTGGGCGCTTGCGTTGTTCCGTGCTATACAATATATTTCTGGCGCTGGTTCATGGGGCTCCCCAATGTGAAGCGGGGTGCAGCGAAGCGCAGACTCCAGGGCTGTTGTTGTTCCTTTGCGCGAAGGGTGTCCCAAATGGCGGGGGAGCGCCGGAGCGCGGGGACAAAAGGCATTGCTTCCACACAGAAGCCAACCTCCCACTTTCCTGGTTTTGGCCGGGAGCTGAGCACGGGGGGCGGTGGCCCTGCTGACCCTGCCCCTGCAAACGTGCCAAAAAAAAGCAACTCAGTATGAGGCCACATGACGACTACAATCATCATTCTTGAGGCGATCTGGTTGAGTACCCGCAACCCTGTTCTAATTCTTTAGGGCGCCGGAAGTCACGACAGTGTCCAGAGGACATGTGAAAATTGGGCCCCTCCCCCTGATTTTTGGTTGAGATTTGGGACCCGTCCAGTTCTTGCTCTCAACCAGCAGTTGTCTAGCAATACTACTCTCAGTTGCTCAAACATTGCACGGTCTGTCCAACAATCGACTGCCATCCTTGTGAAAAGGCCCCTTATCCCCTGCAAAAAAGTTTAACTTTTTGGGGGGCTTAGTGGAAAACCCCTTGATTTCCCAAAAAGTTAAAGTCTAAAGATCCAACCCAATAGCAGTTAAGAAATTGACCATGATTCTTGCAAAGAAGGGAACTTGATCGGGATTGCACCGGAAGGTTCCAGTCCAGTCCAGGATCCCATGATCGCTGATGGAGGGGCTTGTTTGCCTTTCGCAAGCTCGAACGACTTGGGAAAATCTTGCAAAGCGAGTCTGGGGCCTGGGCGTTTTGTTTCTTTCCAAGCCTTTCCAGGGCTCCGGCCCTGTCAGGGCGGCTTCTTCATCTCTGCCGGCGGGGGCGGCTTGAACCTGCCCTTGGACGAGGACGGCCAGTCGCCCGGCCTGCCGGTCGACCGCCCACGCATTTGTATTTGAAAGCGTGTGAACCGCTTGCAATGAATTTTCGCCTGGGCGGTGCTTTGGGTGTTTGGTGGCTGGGGTCACAGCGACTTTGACAGAATTGATTTGTTGCGCTACTTTTTGCGCGTGGGCCTATTTCATTTGACAGCTTCTGGCTCAGCTCATTCTTGCTGTTTAGTTGGGCGTGTTATGCGGGTGCAGCCAAGCGGTGCGCCAGATGTATTGCGCGCAAGCCGTGTGCAAGTGTTTGAGATCTGCGGTATTTGGGGTGGCTTGATTGCACAAGCTACGCGCGCACAAGCTGGCATGCGTGATCTGCTTCGTTGGAGCAAGCCCAGTCTCCCTGGAGAAGGTCGCTGCCGGACTTGCAGGCTTACAGGATGAAGCTTCGCCTGGGAAGCAGATGCAGATCGAGCGCCTTTTGAAGAATGCTTGTATGCAAGGTCATGCTTGAGCAGTTGGCTCGTGTCGGGGATGAGTTGGTGTTGGGCGCGAGATTGGAGGCGTTCCTCTGGGATACCACGTGCGTACGCGCGCCCCTGCCCCTGCGCGTGCTCTCTGTGTGTGTGTGTGTGTGTGTGTTTCATGGAGCCCTTTTTAGGTTGATTCAAAGATGAAAAAAAGGAACAACATTTTTGGGGCCCCTCTATTTTGAGACAGATCCATGTGGATGTTGTAGAACATGAGCCTGAAAGATGCTTGGCGTCTTTCCCCTTCAGCCCAAAAGGGCCCCTTTTCGGGCCTTGTTTGAAGGCAGGCTTCATAATGGCTTGTGCCATTGGGGCACCTTCGAGCCGCAATCAAAGCTCAGGTAGTGAGCGACTTGGAAACCTTAGCACCGAAGTGCAGCGCCTTTTCCTCACGTGCCCCTGGGAACATACAAGCCCTGAAGCCTGTTGATTTTTTGGGTTTTCGGTCGACCCCTGTAGTATGGCACGAGTGTGTAAAAAAGAGCAATTTTGTCACCAAGCGTCGGGCCAGCCACATGGCTGAGTGATTGTTTACTTAAAGCAAAGGGAAGCCAAAGGTCTGCCGATGTCCCAAAATTGCATTTCCCCTTTTGGTGTTTCATTTGGAACCCTCCGGAACGCTACCAGCCCGTTCATGGGTTTCAGTTTGACCCGTTCCTGGAAGATCAAGGTGGGAAAAAATCAAAGCGGTACGGTATGCGACGCGTGGCTTTGAAGTGTTGGTTAGAAGTGAAACCAAAAGGCTCACATTTTTTTAAAAGGGGGGGTCCCTATTTCATATCCGTGTGTGATCAAATTTGGAACCTTTTTGGGATTTGTACGATTATACATCGGTATTCAGAGGTCCAACTTGAGAGGACTCCAGGTTTCCCACCACCGCTTCCCCAAAAAAGTCCCGAAGTGGTCTTGACACAAAAGGGTCGCCTTTGTTCCCTGGTCGCCCGCAAAGGGAAACCGAAAAGAGGCTCTTGAAGCAGTACCTTCCCAAAAACAAATATGGGAACCCGAAAGCGGGCCCCAGGAAAATGGGCACCAGAGGCTTCCAGTCAGGCTCCGTGTTTGGGAGGGTTTAGCACAGTTTCAAAGTTGCAATAGGCGGCCCTGAAAAAAATAACGGATGGATACAAAAATCCCCCTAACGTCCACCAAAGGGTCCCAATGGTTTTTCACATGAGCCACAATCAAAACCTGGCAGATGAAGGTTAGTAAGGGATAATCCCAACCAGAAATAGCTGCGGATATCCGCCCTACTTATTTCTTGAAGCATGGTTCTGGGATTACGACCATTCGAATAACGGGTTTTGATTATGACTCACATGGCTTCAAGGGCCCACGAGCCTTCCGCGTTCCAAAAAGGAGGGCACCGAGCCCGCTGCGCCGAGTCCGGGCAAGGAGCCGAGGGCTGGGGTCTTTCGGTTTGATGCGTTCCGCTGGTTTCGGTTTTGTGAGCAATTGTTTGTGGCCGTCGATTCAAAAGGACACCGGGGATTTGTCCATCATTGTAGATTCTGTTGACATGCAGTAACTTGTGCAAACGAATATTTTGGATTTCGGGTTTCGGAATGCCGCGGGAAAGCGGGCTCAACCGCGGGTGTTCCCACGCCAGAAACAAGTATGCGACTCCAACGACAACAACTAAGAATACGCGCCATCGCTGGCCAACCATCAAATCGGAGAGAAAACAAAGAGGATATGCCTGAAACATCGCATTGTGGACTGGCGCATGACGCATCCGGCTGAAACAATCAATTTCCCCTTGCACTGCGAATGTGTTGGGGCTGTGTTGGGGTGTTGGGGGGGGGCAAGTTGCGTCGTTGGCAGAGCTAAAGCTGGCCGCCCGGTTCCCTTCCGGGCAGTTGTTAAGCTCCAGCCATTCGAATTTCGACAGGTCTTGCTCTGCGGGTATCCATGCCTTACCCAGTGCTTTCAGGCAAGCCACTATAGCAGGTAACCCCATCAGTCCATGCTTCTGGTGCGCCACGTGAGCACTTTTGGGCAAACTCGAAATGCTGACGCTGATGCGAATGGGTCTTGCGGTCTTGCAGTATCTTGCTAGCCTGGGCACTTTGTCCAAACACCGGACTAGGCTTATAATTGGCGTTTCTGCAGGGTGAAGCAAGTGGTTCTCCGCATCCAAGGCATGCTCGGAGAAGCTACGGCCAAAGGCCCCGAGAATGCCCAAAGTTCCCCAAGGCCCTTCTCTGAAAGCGTAAAGCGGGAAGGGAGCATATGATACCTGCTGCTAGCACTTGGCGGCATTCACTTTTTACAAGTCCTTTTGAAGGGAGCCAAAGGGAAGCCAGCTTTTGGGGCACTCCCATTTGTGGACCCAATTTTGATGGGCATGGGCATGGGCTGGCTGTGGCTGTTATCAAGGCGGTAGGAGGTTAGCGGCAATGATGGCCCAATGAAGGGGGGAGCTCTTTCGTCAAAAAGGGTGGTGCAAGTTATGAGACTCACTGACAGGAGGTAGCTCGACCAGAAGAGGCGGCTCAAGCAGAGGAGGCAGCTCGAGCAGAGGAGGCAGCTCGAGCAGAGGAGGTAGCTCACGCAGAGGAGGTAGCTCGAGCAGAGGCGGCAGCTCGAGCAGAGGAGGCAGCTCGAGCAGAGGAGGCGGCTCGAGCAGAGGAGGTAGCTCGACCAGAAGAGGCGGCTCGACCAGATGCGCCAGCTCGACCAGAGGTGGCAGCTCAACCGGCAGAAGCAAGCTGTTCAAAGACTCAGCCGGAAAATGTAGCTCGAGTGATTGACGCATCGCAAGTTGACCAGGCAGCAGCAGAAGCAAGCCAACAAGAGGAGGCAGCTCGACCAGAGGCAGCTCCAAAAGAGTCCCAGGCAGGTGTTTTGCAGATTGACAGAGCATTGAGCTCCCACATTCTGGCTGTCATTCCCTCGTTCCCATGCGACCGAAGTGCGCGCTCTCAGGTTTTAGGCGCTATTTCTGGACACTCGAATGGACTTGAGTGGGTTTGACCGGGGTCCAGCTGGGCACATCGCCTTTAAGTTGTGGTTGCAGGTATGGTGATGGGGAGTTCAGGGAATGTCTTTTGGAGGGAGCTTCAAACATTTGCCTTTGGCGCAAAGGGACACGCCTTGAGGTCATTGCAAAGCACTGAGTTGCCATGAAGCGGACTCATCACTGACAAGTCTGCTGGCCACTGGAGTAGTGCTGAAAACCAGGCAAGCTGGTGAATTTACAGGTTTTGAACTTACAGGGTTCTGCTGTGTGGTCTCGTGTTGACTGTAGTGAGGGCCGTACAGACCTTTCCCTGCCGTTACCAGAAGTCAGCTCGGGTTCGCATCGAAAGGATGGGTGTTGAGTTGTGGAACCTCCCGCAAAAGTGAAGAAGCCGTCGCGTGGGCAACTTTCCACTTTGCACCAGTTTGCTTATCATGATGGTAATACATTTGCTATCTTGGTGGGAAGGCCGGGGTACACCTGCAGGGGTCTCCATATCAATTTATGAGCTTAGGTGGGTAATCCCAGCATAGGGAGTTTTATCCCTCCCACCTGCTGCCTGCGGATTTTTCCAGGGGTTGATTCCTTTTCCATTCTTTTCAACCATCGTTCTTTCCGATTGCTGTTTCCCCCATATTTTTGGGTTTTAGAAAGATTCGGATGCCTGGGAAGAATGGAAATGGAAGGTTCCCCTCGAATTTGCCTAGGGTAATCCCATAGAGTTTATCCCTACCTGCCATCCATCCCTGCCTGCGGATGTGCGAGGCACCGCCCAAGGCGCGGATGGTACCCCGCCGGCCGGGGAACGTCCAGTTCTTCTGTGTCTCCGTTTTGCGATGTTCGGGAAAGCGGTTTGTTTTCGGATAGGACAGTTCGATGTTCGATTTTCGGGAAAGCGGTTTTTCGGTCAACGGATCAGAGCATTGGTAGGTTTTCCCTGGGTATGGAGGGTGGGCCTCGAAGTGCCTTCGGAAGGGTGTTTCAAGGGCCAAACTCCTTGGCCTCGTACGATGACTGTCGTGGCTGGATGCCCAATTCCCCGATTTTGACGCCATAAAGTGTACGCGCCAGCTACCTTCACCCAACTGTTTTTTTTTTGGCGGCTTCACGACTGGGTTGCACCCGGCCTCCGGCCCAAAGTACGCTGCTTTCCAGTGCGTTTCCCTGTTGGACTGTCCATCCAAACAAGAGCGCTGATTGTGGAACCTCCCAGATTCATCAAATGATAGAACATGCATTTTCTCGCAGAGCCCGACTTCACTTGCAGGGGTGTCAGCTATCAAGCCGATGCCCGGAATGCCGAGCGGCAACTTGTGCCGTGAGACTCTGAAGCCAAGCAAGCGCGCCTACATTGACGCCGCGGGTCCCATCCCGAACGAACGCCTTCACCATCACTCGTCTTTTCTTCTCTATATATGCATGTTCCGTGTTGCGGGTTGTAACAGACGTCAGTGGAGCGATACGCAACATGCTCGCTTATTAGAGCTTGATCATTTCATCGAAGACTTTGTCATGCGATTTCTGTGTCCCGACCAGAACGAAAGACCGTACCCGGGGAGAGAGCTCTGGTTCCACAATTGATTCGTGATTTAGGGTGATGAGGTTCCAGATCAGGACTTTTTGTAAGAGATGCCGTTTGGGGGTGTGCGAGTTGGCCTGGCTCACGTGCTTCGGTTGAATCATGAGCCTGGAGTGCCCAGAGATGGGCATGCAGACCAAGGAACTGCCAACAATTCTGCAGAGTGATTTCATGGCGAGCTGGCGGCAAAACGATCTCATGATGTCAGGTGTTCGCATTGTAGAACTTGCGCAGACATTCACGAGTCATGGGTCGGTCTCCGTTGGTGATCAGGTGCCCGCCATGCTCCGCCCTCCAAGAAAGTGTGTCATGTGCGGTGTCCCCCTCCCCCGATGTGAAAGATTCTAACAAAATGAATCGGACACCTCGCATGAGTCAAGCGGTCTACTCATCCTGGTCAGTCTCCGTTGGTCGTGAATCGATAGCCACGGCAGTTTTGTTTGACCGAAAGGCAATTTCCATTGAACGCACGAAGCTCCGTTCTCTGCTTGATCTTGGTTTCTCAGGCAATCCTTAAACAACATTGTCTTTGCAGTCACTGGCTAAGTTGCCAAGTTGAAATGGTCTAAGTCCAGGTCGCTCAACTGTTTGACAGCGGATGAGTGGAGTTCTTGGTTTCTTGTTCGTTTGCACCTTGGTGACCCGAATTCCGCCACGCTTTGCCAGGACTACCGGGAAGAGGTGCTACCCATACCCTATGCGAGGGCCTGCGTTGACAGGTGTCCGAAAATCCCCGTTTAAAACAAGCATAGACATTACTGGTCCATCCAATCGTATGTGAGTTGTCTCCGGGCGGGGCGAGGCTTTAGGGTGCAGTTTTGGGAGCCCAGATTGAGACCAGTTGAAACATGTTCATATGACCCCCCAAACATTCATTGACCCCATGTTTGGGGTGGCGGCTGATGCGGGTGTCCCAACAACAGCTCCATATCTAGTTGTTTCTTTTGGAAGTTGTGGGGAGTGGTGGCGAT